TCCAAGCATCTTACTTGAAATGTGATGGAGCCGCGGGGCAAATTTTCTCAGTGTCCTCCATTTTTTTGTTTACGAATGACTCGTCTCAGTATCCCACAGCCGAAAATTCTTGCGACACAAAGCAGCGGGCGTCAACACATCCGCAGCGACTTCTGCTGGACTGGAAGTTGTATTACACTTGGTTTGGCTGATGTGCGCCAACCAATCATGGATTTTATTTGTTCATTTTTTTAAATTAAGAATCGATACTTGGCATCAAGAATTGATGCAGTAGATCACAAAAATTAGAATCGCGATGCATTGTCATGGCGATTATTTTGCACACCCCTATTTGGCGCTAAGCGCGTTTTTGAAATCAAAGTGCTAGAGGGGTCTAAAAAGTCGCCAAATAAAGCGCTATAAAGCAGCCCAACAAAGCCTGGTTTTAGTTTAGAAAACATGCAAATTGAAAGAAACGAACGGGGGATTGTTGGCCTGGCTGAAGAGGCGATTTGCTTTGGACCCCTGGTCCCTTCTTCAGCAATTTGCATGTTTTCTAAACTAAAACCAGGCTTTGTTGGGCTGCTGGATAAAACCTGGAACTAAACGCTATTTCTGACGTTTTGAATTGAAAAATCTTCCTGGATGGAAGAGAAACGTCTTCAAACTTGGAAACAAAGTCCAGTGGATTGTTTTTTTTACTTTTTTGGAATGACTATGGCCTGAATGACTGAGAAGCTTCACCAGAATAGGAACATGGATTATGTCCCTGGAAAAAAATGAACTTATTTTTCACAAAATATTTGCAAAAAAAGTATTTAAGATTATGCAACTTTAACCATCTTGCCCCTTAAAGGAAGACGTAGAGCAGCGAGCGCCGTTCTCTGGTCTTTAACCTGGACTGTTTGTCTGATTCCAGGCCTGCTGTTTCGCTGCCATATATGACCCCTGCTCCTCTCCTGGGGGGCGCCCAGGGCCATGGCAGAGGTGATGGGACAGAGGGGCCTGATGGGCTTTGGTGTGGTGCTGGCTTGGCTCGTGCTTTTCCACCTGCTGGTCAATATCTGGCTCCTGTGTGTGTTCACCAGCCTTCTGCTGGTGCTCGGAGGCTGGTTCGGATCACAGGCCATCTTGGAGTCCAACAACGTGGTTCACCTGGAGAGGTTCATCAAACTGGAACAGGTAATCGCTCCTCTGATGGCTTTCTTCCTTAATCCATGTTTTCATTGCATATTTCCTTTTGTTAGGCGCCTTTATGATTCATGAGATTCTGTGTTTTTTTGAGACGGAAGAAAAATGCATATTTTTCTATATCATCATGTAGATAACAATCTGAAAAGTGAGGCATGCATTTATATTCAGCTGTTCTAACTCCAATAGCTCTAAGTAAATCCACCAGCGGCCTTTATTACACTCCTAATTAGCAAACAGAGTCAATTTTGGGCAAACAGTAGAATTATTAACAACGATCAATAAGGTCTGTTGTGTGAATCATATAAAATTCTATTCAGTTTATTTCTATAGCGCCAATTCACATCATGTCATCTCAGGTCACTTTACAGAAACAATTCAACCACATCATTGGTTCAAAGTTTTCTATCTAAGAAAACCAGCTGATTGCATCGACTCATTGACTCTTCAGCAATCCCTCACACTAAGCATGCTTGTAGCGACAGTGGAGAGGAAAAACTCCCTTTGAACAGGAAGAAACCTCCAGCAGAACCAGGCTCAGTGTGAGCGGCCATCTGCTGAGGCCCACTGGGGTTCAAGGAGACAGAAGCAGACATAGAAAAAGAAGCATAGATTCAAAAGGCAACTGTCAACCAGCTCCACAGGCGGCCCCGTCCAGGAAACACACAGCCAGGCAGACGAGCTCCGAGCCAGCTCCCATGTCAGAGGATGAAGAGAGCACATCCAGTTAGTCACAGTCAGAGAAACAGGACTACACTGGAAAACAGGCCAAGCTCCAACATCTAGAAACAAAGGTGTTGATGGCAGCAGCACAGCTGATATTTCTCTCCAGGATGGAGTCACAGCCAAACAGGAACAGACCAGATGAAGCTACTATGAGAAAAAGCAGAGAGAGCAGAACGTTAGAGATTGAACTAACAGATTCTGCAGAGTGGGAGAATAGAGATAGAATGAAGCAGAATGATGAAAAAGGGGTCCCTATGTCCTCCAGCAGTCTAAGCCTATAGCAGCAGAACTATAGAGATAGATCAGGATAACCTGAGCCACTCTAACTAGAAGCTTTATCAAAAAGGAAAGCCTAGCCTTAAAAGTAGACAGGGTGTCTGCCTCACGGACTAAAAAAGGAACTTTTCATAAAATCCTCATATTTAAAGTCATTAGAAACATCTTTTAAGATTGTTGAATCTGTTAATTGATTCTCCAAAGGATCCTCTGAGGGAAACTGACAGCTAATCTCTTTTACAGATTGATGTGTGTTGCAAGTTTTTTGAACAATATGCATCATTTTTCCCTATTTCATTGTTAAACAATAATTCCCTTCCCAAACGATGTTGTTTTTCTTGGAAAATTATAAAATGGAAAATAAAAATTAAGGTCTGAGAAAAATGCATTTCTGAGTTCAAATAATTTGTTGTCTTCTTCAATCCAGGTTCAGTCGTCTGCAGAGGATGAGGAACAGTTGGACCAGGAGATCCATCACACCGTGAGAAAGATCATTAGAGACTTTGTCTCTTCATGGTATTCCACGGTGTCCACAGAGAGTGCTTTTGAGACGGAGGTTCAGGAAGCCATGATCTCTATGGCCATGGAGCTGAAACTCCGGGCCAGAGGCGTTGACCGAAAGGTAAGAAGCTTCAGGAAGATTAGAGGAGGTTTGTTCAGATTTGAGCATCGTCAGTCGGACATAAAGCTTTTCTATTTTCCTTTAGGATCTGACCCAGAAGGTCCTGAACCTGGTGGGCGCACACCTGCAGGATTACCTCAGAGCCAAGGAGCTGGTGAAGGACCAGCAGCAGCGCAGTGAGAGGAAGCAGTTATGGAAAGCTTACTCCTCTATCGTCACGCCTCACGTTGCCATGGGCGACGAGGCAGCGGAGGTCAACTATATCCGCGCCATGGTGGATTGTTTGCTGCACGTTTTGGTTCCTTCGCCTCATTTAGAAACCCAGACAGGACGCTTCGTGGTTGGAGAGCTCATCACCTGTAACGTCCTCCTCCCTCTAGTAGCTAAACTGTCCGACCCTGACTGGTTAAACCTCCTCGTTATAGAAATCCTCGGTAGATCCAACGCCCAGACGGAGAGAGTCGCTCCTCAACCAGAGATCTGCGCCCCCCCGCTGCCTGCTGCTGATTCAGAGACCGATGCACCTCAGCAGGCTGTGTCGTTGCCTCCGGTGGTCAGTGAGGCGCCCTCACAAAGAGCAGAGGCAGGGCTGAGCGAAGACAGAGAAACCGCCGCGTCCGAGTTCACTGCCTACGATGTGAGCGACTCCGACGAAGTCAGGTTTTCCCAGACTTTCTCTGAGGAAGACGATGCTTCTCGCCCCTTTTTAAGGTGTTACATGAGAGGAAGAAAGTCCAACCCATTTTACCAAGAAACCGATTCTGACCCGGACTCTCCTTTGGCAGACTATAAACCCAGCTCCACCGATTCCTTGCTCCTGATAGGTCAAGAGGATGGTCTTTATGACAGAGCCAGAGACTGCACCACCGCTACAGAGAACAACAACGGCATAGACTTGGAGGACGTTTCCCTGAGTCCGGTGGACGCATCTCATCCTAAGGTCTTGGTGAATTCAGCAGTAGTGGACAATCCTAACGACAGGAGTCTGTCATCAGTCGGTCACACAGAGGGGACCTGCAGCACCAACAGCCTTCCCGATCTGAGGGGAGAAAATGGTTCCCCTGCAGTAAGCGAAAGCAGAGAGCTTGTTCTTGGCGTGGAGCAGAGCGGAGCGGTGAACGCCTGTGAGCTGATGGTGGCTAACCCGCTGCAGGGCTCTTCTCCCATGTCTACCTTCAGTTTTGAGCCCCTCAGCAGCCCAGAGGGGCCGGTCATCATCCAGAACCTCCGCATCACGGGGACCATCACAGCCAAGGAGCACCGTGGCACCGGCTCGCACCCCTACACGCTTTACACCATCAAAGTGAGTAACGTAGCTCAGGCTCTGAATTCAGTTCAATTCAGTTTATTTCTATAGAACCAATTCACATCATGTCATCTCAGGTCACTTTCCAGTTCAC